TCCGTCTGTCCGAGCTGATGACTCTCAACATGATGAACTACGAGTTCAAATGGCCGAAGGTGGTGGAGATCTGGCGGAAGCAAAAGAAGAGAAGACCCGCGAAAACACCCGTCCCACACAAGCACTTCGCACGAAACGGCAAGGCAGTTTAGAGTCTGATAGCGAGGATGAGCATGCAAGTGATTGAATGATTATAAATAAATTGTCAAGTATGTGAGTTTAGTTAAATCTTAGAAGTACATATTAGTGGCTGCGTACGGAAAAATCTCACACTGGAGTTGCAGGGTAAAATTTTAAAACGGATATGTTACACTGCTCTGGCAGTGTAATGAAAACGTTCACACTGCTCATAAGGGTTTTTAAAAAAGCTACACTGCCAATCGTGAGTTAGCCAAATCCAAAACGAAGCCCTGGTGTTGGGCGAGCTCAGCGAGAGCCTCGGTCGTGGCCGTGCGTGCTTACGAGAGAGCAATACGAGCGGCGGTGTTGTGTCGCTGAGAGACGTCTACCCCCCCCCCAAAAAAATGAGATAGTGGGGAAGCGAAGGTGTGGGTGCGGTCCGAGAGGAGATCGTAGGCCTTGAATACCAAGTGTTACGAGTGCAATTGAGTGAACGAACGAGAATTGCACTATCGAAGCAAGAGTACAATGAGCGAAGGCATGAGCGAAGAATATATAGCGAAACTAAAGTGGTAACGGTAATGGACTGTGGTTGTCGCGCGACGGGCCTGGGACTGTGGTTGGGAAAAAGTGTCGAAGCGGAGGCCCGGAGCGCGGGTTACTCGCCGAGCCGTGAGGTCGGGGTGCGATGTGCGAAGGTGGCGGGCGGATTGTCGATGTGAGGGTTGCGAGTGGTAACGGTGCTGACTGTGGTGCTATAGTGATGTACGCGTTGAGCATGGATGAGAAGTAAGGAAAAGGAATTTTCTTTACAAAGATACACATCAACGTCCTTATCACTTTATCCGACCCCCCAGACATGGAGGTGTGTTGTGTTGCCTTACAGGCTGCCTTTCCGGATCTGTGGAAAACGTGCGAACTCTCTGGAGAGATTTCTCGAAGCAAGGTGAAAATCGAGTTGCCTTTTTTGTGGGTCTGCAACCCGTGATTTGCGGGTTTTACAATCTCTGGAGCATTCTCTCACCACGAAAGCGGTGATTGTGGGTGATGTTATTTAACAATTGGCTTTCGCTTCAAAAACCAATTATCGCGCGCCAAATGGCCGAAGGCTTCTACCAATAACCAGCTGCTTCAGTGCGCACTGATGCAAAATCGATTAGCCACGGTGGACAGGCAAAACTGACGCGACAATGGCGAGTGAAGTGGCTCGCTCCATCCATAACGTGACGTTCACGGTTTGCGAAACGATGCCCGACCGTTCCATCAGAAGCCCACCATTCGTCCACTATGTTCAACTGTCCGCAATTATCCAGTCAGAACCCGGCGTCAAACATTTAACTATTTCGCGGGCTGCAGCTAGTCTGACCGCTATTCTCCCTCGGTTGCTGCCCCCTGCAGCTGAAACTCCGCCATCCAAGAAGCCTTCACACCGCGAGTAGTTTCCTACGGCGCTACCCGTGCGCCTTCCTCGTTGAAAGCTGTTGCGAGTTGCGCCAAAAACTGGGAACAACGCCTGCAGGTTCCCCCTTCCTCTCAACCCCACCGGCCCCCCCCCCCCCCTTCCCCCCCCCCCCACCTCCCCATTCCCCACACCCCCTTTCCCCACACCACCTCGATTCTTCCCGTGGAGTGCCCATTTGGGGAACTGACCGCTGCGGCGTTGATTTCCGCCCTCCCGTCCCGACACGACCGGCTCGCGGGTTGCCTTCACATCACAGTACTGTGGCGTCTCAGGGAAGGAAGCCCCGCGATTCGCCCTCGATTGAGCTGATGACCTAGAAAAGCTACACCTTCTCTCATCAGAATCACCCAGTATCCTAATGCGCCCCGTAGTGACAAGGTTCTAAGACCAGGTCAGTCTGCTCACGAAACGGATATTCAAGATATTTTAGTACGAGATATAAAAGACATACCGTCGCGCTCACTATGCATTCCAGCCTGCTAAAATCCGTGCTGAAGCAAAATAACCTCGCTTCAAGTGGTGGTAATATGAGAGAAACTGAAAGCATCACTTCCAGCTTAGCTTCTTCCCCCACTAGCCCCGCCAAGAAAATGAAGCAAGAGAAGCAGACGATCTCCGCAATGTCTGCCAAGTCAACAAAGTCAACGACATCGCCTTCCCCCGAACGAAATGCTAAAAATTCTCCTCGTGCGGTGTGCTTGTGTGCTCCTACAAACCACCCCGGATCTTTCCGTTGCCGTTTCCACCGGGCCCGCGCAATTTCCTCGCAAAAAGCCGCATCGCCTGAGCCCAAATCGAACGGAAGAAGCGACTGCAGAGATCGTGTTGCAAGAACTCCCAGGCTAAGCAGGTTATCTGCTGTTTCTATGCAGGTTAGTCCACGCTTCTCATTTTTCATTTCTCGCCGTTTTCTGGATTTACCTGAATATAATTGAGTCAGAGATCCTAACTCGGTCAGCCTATTGCCTAGGTTACTTACGTATCTATCATTGTTTTCACCAACTGTGTTTGCTTTTCTCCTGCCCGGCTCCCCTTGCGTCGTACTTGTCGCTCACCTTTTCCCCCCCTTGCTCTCCATACCCTTTTGTTATTGTGTTGAGCAGGCCGCTTAATGGTTGAAACTGACAATTGCCAAGACGCTTCCCTCCCTTGAAGAGCTCTTTTCCATTTTGTTTCTCATCCTCACCTGGACAACCGCTTGCTGTCCATCTGCAATGGCATGCTGCCAAGTTCCATATGTAGAAAGCCCATTCACAAGCCGCTTCTTTGACGCACTGCAACGCAATGCTGTGCCACGGCGAAACGTCACGCAGGGTCGTCTCTCACGGCACGGCATTCCAGTGAAGCGCATACACATCATTTCATCCCGTCCATCCCTTTCCCATGTCCAGTCATGCCATCTCATCATGCCATCACATCCCATCGTTTGTCATCGCATAGAGTGAAGGGTCTCAGCATGTCGTATCATCCCGTTGACATGGTATATCGCGCCACATCAGGGTGGGTCTGTGTTCCATCATGGTAGCAGCTGCAGAAGCCTCTGGATGGGCCAAGCGATACGTTTTAGCAGCTGTGCCGCTGTCAACCTCTTTTCCTCCTGAAGTTTCTGTCGCCTGCTGCGATTTCCATTCCGCTCCCTGTTGCCTTATGTCTTGCTTCGTTTAGTTCTTTTGGCCCAGTCCCAATGTACCGTAGCAAGTTGGTGGTGACAAGTTTTTTGTATATACCCAGTTATAATATCTAATAAATCATGGTCAGCTCTATAGTTGAGTGACATGGGACTTCAAAAGGAAAGGGGGCGGGAGGGAAACTAGTACGTATGCTTGGCACCATGTTCCTAAACATGTGTGTCAAAGGGGTGCTGTGTGTCTCTTGAAGCACGTCGTCATACCGATACATGCTCAGTAGTTAGGCTTGTACATCCCGATCTTCATGTTTCCTATCAGTTTAGTTTGGTAAGCTAGCTGATATGGGATTACCACTAGGTAAAGTAAAGGAAGTGAGCCTACCAGGGCCTGTGCTAGGATTTAGGGCACTCTGAGCCCTCAGGGCAACTTTTGAAAACTCTCCAAAATGCCCTGATTTTTCAGGGCAAAATTTCCTGGCAATCCTGAAATTTCAGGGCACCAGCAGAAATTCATCCGGACCGGATGTTTCAGGGCAAAAAAATACAAGACACTAGAGTGGAGGGGAAGCCACGAGAGGAGCAGGTTGTTCAGCGGTTTCACTACAATGGGCTGAGCAAAAACCTTGGGGGGGGGGGGACAAAACTAGCACACACACCCCCGAGCCTCCCTCCTCCCATCTCCCCCTCTCCCCCCCTCCCCTCCACCCCTTCTTCCCCTTCCCATGAGTCAGGGCATCCCTCTACATTCACCCTAACGCTTCAGGGCAAAATCTCACTGCCATTCTGAAATTTCAGGGCAAAACACATGAATCATCCTGACGTTACAGGGTAAATTTCATCGTCATTCTGAAATTTCAGGGCAAACTTAAAACACCATCCTGAAATCAGGGTAATCAGGATGTTTTGCCCTGATATCGTGGGCCCTGGAGCCTACAGCAACTTCACAAATGATAACCACTAGGTAAACTGAAGGACGTGGCATACAATCTAGATGGCAATGTATGTGCCGCTGTGATGGGCATGGCAGAGTTGGAACTTGATGCTGTCATCTGCAGGAACTGGTTTGCGGGAACAGAGCGTCGTCGAGTGAAAGATCAAGTGCTGCCAGGTGGTCCTGCCACCCCCTCCATTGACTGCACAACAGACACATGCTTCCGCAGTCCTATTTCCACACTGCTCGGAACCACCAGGCTCTCTCATTTCTCACTTCCTCTCCCAAATTCCTTCACAGGGAAGGCCGCAACTACTACTGCAGCTTTTCCCCTTTGCTGTCATGAGCTCCCACCCATCCATCCCATGCACACCCACACCTGCACACCCGTTGCTCCTTGCTTGTTCCCCCTCTTCTACCACTCTTCCCTTCCTCTACCTCTCCCCTTCTCCATTCCAACCCTCTTCCCCTCCTCCCTCTCATGCCATGCCTTGCTAGTGCTTTGCCCGGTTAGGCCGAATGACTTTCAGTCCAACGCCTTGTTACTTGATCCAGCTGCTCCATGACTGGCTGTAGCTTTGTCTCTGCATGACACTCCAGCACCTCCTCCTGTTGGTGACCCAACTCCATGCACTTCCCTGGTGCAGCCCTCCTGTTCCTGCTCCTCACCCAATGTCTAGGAAACATGGCTCCAAGAATGCAGCATGGCACACACATAGCTAACCCACAGCCTGGGATGGGATGCATGAAAGAGCAGAGTCACAAAAGCCCTGTTGCAGCAGCACCAGCTATCAACACCCCACATGGCACGGCATGGTGCTGCATATGGCACGGCGTGGCATGGCATGGCATGGCAGCAGTCAGAGCACGCAGTCCTCCTCCTCCTCCTCCGGCTCTACCTGCTCCACCTGCTGCCTCAGCCTCTTGCCTTCCCGCGGCGTTGCCCCTCGCCCTCTCCTCTGCCTGCGTGAGAAGTAGGGCAGGGGAAGGAAGGCAGGAGATGGGAGTGAGGGCAGGAAAGGAAAGGAGGGCACAAGCATGGGGAATGTGCCCAGGGGAGCATAAAATAGGGAGTTGCTCGAAGGAGATTGCGTTAAGGAGGGGGGAGAGAGGGGATGGGATGAGGGGAAACAGTGACTATTGCAAAGACAACAGCAGAGAGCAGCAGAGAGCACGGGGGCTCACGTTGGGCCGTTACCAGGCGCGCCACTGGACTTGGAACGAGAGGAGAAGAGCACATGCAGATCAGAGCGGCCGTCTGGTGGAGTTTATGTTTAGGGAATGATGAGGCATGCGGGCAGTGAGAGCGGTTGAGGGTTGGAGGGAGAAGCAGATGGGAGTGGCAGGAAGCAGCTGGGAAGGTTGGGGGAGGAGGGATGGCAAGATGCAAAGAGAGGGGCGTATGAGTGCAGAGTGGTGATGTTGAGTGTGGTGGTATTCAGTGCGGTGGCGAACAGCAGATGTGGTGAACAGAAAGAACATGGGGGCAAGGCAAAGGAAGGGGTGGGTGGCACACCTGCGTCTCTCCCAGTCGCTTGTTCCTCAGCCTGGCATAGCCACACGTGGGTGAGAGCAGGGGGTGAGAGCAGGGGGTGAGAGCAGGGGGTGAGAGCAGGGGTTTAGGGTAGTGGGGATACATGGAGTGTGGAGAGAAGGCATTGGAACGGAACGTGGTTGAGTTGGCAATGGTTCAGAGGAAGCAAGAATGAAGAGAAGTCAATGGCAAAGGCAGTGCAGCAGAGAGTTCTCCTAAGGGCCACGTGACATACAGCAGATGATGTGCACGATGACAGCGAGAAGAGGCGATCCTCTGCCAGGAACTTTCTCGGACGCTTCATGCTGCTGATGTGGCGGGATGGAAGGAAGGAAGGATGGGGAAGAACGGATACGGGGAGGCGGGGTGTGGGTGCATGCGGAAGGGATGTGGGGAAAAGGCGCTGTTTGAGTTGACTTGGAAAAAGGCGAGTGGGATGAGTGAGTGTGCAGGAAGAAAGGCGAGGGACTGGCAACAGGTTGAGCTGGCAACCAGTGGGTAGCTAGCATGTGTGCGTGCGGTGCACAAGGGTGTGCGAAGGAGCAAGAAATGGAGAGACAAAAACGGTGAAAAAAGAAGGCAAGGGGAAAGGTAAACGGAAATTGGTGGGCTGAAAGTGGAGGCGGAAGCAGACAGCGAAGCGGACGCAGTGGGAACGGTGATAGTGGGGGGAGAGTAGGGAGTGGCACCTGCTGGCGGCTCTAGGAGCGGCAAGAAGGGAGTCGAAGCCTCTGAGAACGCTGCCGGTGTGCGCCGAGTCGTGCAGGTATGCCGTCTCCAGGTCGAACAGCTGCTCTCACCACACGGCGCAATGGGAGGGGGGGGGGACAGGAGCACGCGGAGGGGGAAAAGGAGGGGGGCATGTGGGGAACGCTGCCGGTGTGCGCCGAGTCTTGCAGGTATGCCATCTCCAGATCGAACAGCTGCTCTCACCACACGCCACGGGGGAGAAAGGGGGGGAAAGAGGATGGTAACACGTGTGTGTTGGGGGGGGAAAGAGGGCGGTGGAAGGATGAGATTTTTGAGGCGCCTCAAAAATCGCCTAACTACATGCGGGTTTCATCCGGTATGCTGCGGCGCGGGGGAGAGGACGGACGGGTACACGTGGCGGGGGGAAAGGAGGCGGGCACGTGAGGGAGGAAAGGAGGTGGACACACAACAAGGAGGGAGAACGAGAGAGGGTGATTGGGGCGAACGCAGAGGAAATCTAGGGTTTCCGCACTCTCAGCTGCGCTGCTCTGCTCTCCGGGCTTGGTGTCACTCGGCTCATTTCCGGTCCGCCTGCAGCTGAAAAAACAACGCCGCACAAAAGCTCTACCGATGATGCGCAACAGGCGCTGCCCTAACCATCCCAGTACTTCCATCACCCCAGCAACCCCATCATTCCAGGCATGGGCTCTAAAGGGTTTAGCGCGCGCGCGCCCGCACGGACCTGTCTTTCCGCACTCGCCACTTGCTCCTCCAGCTTCTCGCGCCGCGCCACCAGGGCTGCCAACGCGCCAGGCGTCGCCGCGGACGACGGCGCGCCACCAGCGGAAGCGGCGGAGGCAGCGGCAGCGGCGGCGGCGGCGGAGAGAGAGCTTCGGGGGACCGCGGCCGACGCTGGCGCGGACGCGGGCGCAAGGGCGAGAGTAGTGGCGGGGGGGATCGCGGGCGGGTCGAAGGCCGGGGGAGGAGCAGCGAAGGGGGGGGGGGGGCGTGGCGGGGCCTTTGTGGGCTTTGTTAGCTGACGCGTTGGGGAAAGCGGAAACTGAAGCGGAGACTGGAACAAACGGGAAAGCGGACGCAGCCGCAGACGCGGAAGCGGAAGGGAAAGAGGAAGCGGGGAGATTATTAGGTTGGCGGGCACCGGACATGGCATCCAGCGCGTCCGCCCCGCTGCGAGACGATCGCGCGGAGCAACTCAGCTCGACCCATGTGCCGCCCGCCGCTGCCCCCGCGATTTCAGATCAGAGAATGGAAACCGGCAGTCGGAGCGCGCGGATCGGCGGGAAGAACCCGCGCGGAAATTTGCCCGTCAGAAGTGACGGGAGGCCCAGAAGGGAGCCCGCGCGGCGGAAACGGGCGCGCACCGGGGGCGGGGAAATCCGGCGGAAGCGGAGGAGAGAGGCGGAAGCGTGGACGGGCGGAGGCAGCGGTCAGTGCGACGCGGCGGAAGGCGATGGGCAGCAGGGAACCGAGCGTCGAGGCGCCATGGCGATCTCGGAAGAATGATGTGAGTCTCACAGTTGCGCTTGCCCCTTTGGTTGCTGCGGTGCCTCTGACGTTCCTCCGTAGACAGACTTGCAACCTCGGCGCACGACAGGAGAAATCGACAGCTCGAACAGCGGTCGCGGACGGGACGAAGCGTGCATAGCTCACGAGGCACGCCCGAGGCGCCCGCAGGGTGCCATCTTGGTTCTTGGAAGAAGAAACGAACACAGATTTTGCCCGATCGAGTGTGCGAGGAGCGGAGGGATCGCAACAACTGACGGGTTGAGAGAACGATGCGGAAGAGGGGTTGAGAGAACGATGCGGAAACGCGTGTTCCTGACGGAGGAAGGGCGAGAGAGGGGGCTGGAGTGGCAGCAACGTGAGGGGAGGGACAGATCCTGAATTCAATTTCCCGTGTCGAGATTTCGCTGGTCAGAAATTTCGCGTCGTGGTTTGTCCGTGGAACAGAGGTGGATGTGGACAGGCACGAATGATCCAGAGAAGAAGAGGGGACGAGGCGAGTCGAGGCGCAGGGCAGCGAGTACGAAATCGGGCAGATGAGGAAAGGAGAGGAGGCGAGGGGTGTCATGCAGGTTTGCACCGAGAGCTGCGTTGCGGGATTCCGAGATGCGGGCGGGAGGGAGCAAGAAGGGGGGAGGAGGGATGAAAGGGACCATCCCAACTGCGCTGCTGCTCCTGCTGCCGCTCGGATTCACGTCGAGAGACGAGAGGGGGGCTGCGGGGGATTGCTCGAGAATCGGGAGAATGGGGAGAATGAATGTTGTCTCTCCTTCGTTTCCTCCTCTCTCGGCGTGGCTCACGTGCGCGCTTCCGCAAACTCATCTCGAGATGGGCGCTTGCAAGGGCCCTCGATACTTGTGAGAGAGCGAATCGAACGGACAGCCTTGCTTGGGAGCATGAAGAACCCCGGGATTTCGATTAATGGCTTGTGAAAAGCTAGTCGTTCGTTTGGGGGACTAGTAGTGTGGTTTGGAGGACCATGCCCAATTGGAAAGAAAGACGGCTCGTGCTACGTGAGCTGGTGGCGTGATTGTGATTGGTTGCATTCGCCGCGCGAAACCTCAATCTTGTCCGTACCAAATGACTGGACTCGGAAGATAATTGAAACAAGAACCTGTTTTCTTCGGGGCGAGCCGTATGAACCTGCTACATAAAAAGTGTATAGATTACGTACAATGTCGCACGTACCATAGAAAAGAAACCATTGCGATATGGTGCAGCCTCGGCGTGTAGGAAACATTTTTGGCTCACGGGTGAGTGGCATTGCGGTGCACCCTATTCCGAGCCTATATCTCCAAGCCAACGAGTCGCGTACGAGATTTGTGTTTTGACTGTTTGGGTTGCAGCAGTTGTACAATTTCGCTATAAGGTTACACATGAAAGAGGTGCACCAGAAACACTAGTTTTGAATTCACAAGTTTGAACGCCCAAACCTTTGGCGCGAAAGCCACACAGCACAGGCCACACTCCTCCCACTCAAAACGATGAAGAACCAACCTGGTCAGGTCACTTGATTGAGACGCCTTCATCACACGTTTGATCAACTTAGTCTCGTATGCCATGCTTTTCCTTTAACCTTCGTAGCGACTCTCAACGCAGATATCTCTCCAGGCATGGGCCCCTCCCGCCGCGTTTCTGGAGGTGCTCGACCTTCTGGCTTGCTCCTTTCGCCGCAAGAACTCCAGAAGCAGAAGCGCCATCAGCAGCGCTCTATCGCATCGTTCTTCTCGCCCTCAAGGGCGACAAAACTTTCCGTCACCGCCACGCATGACTCAATTCCAGCAACAGCCGCAGAGGACGTCCAACCAACTGATAAGACTGATGGGAGCAACCTTGATTCTCCCAATGGACGTGCACGGAATCACAAGGCCTCGCCCGGTTCGACGGCTAATCGAAACGCCCGTCGCGTTTTGAAATCTGCGGTAGGAGGAAAGGGTGGAGGTCACCGAGGAACCTTGGTGCGCGCTGAGGCGCGGACAAGCAACTCCGAAGAATCGAAGGATGACGAGCTTCTCTGGACCGACGACCCGGCTGAAAAAATCAAGCGACCCGGAGACGAGCGCGGAGCCAATTCGCGCAAGGTGGCGCTTCAGATCCCTCCACTGGCGGGCGGACAGGGCAATGCAGGAGGAGACGACGACGTTGCTCCGGCGACTGAAGTCCACGGCGGAAAAACCGCCGTGAAGGCGGAGGGGCTGGCGGAAGGGGCGGCGGAGGAGAATGCGCAAGGAGGCGTGGATGTGGCGGGCGGGGACGGCTCGCTCTCGATGGGCTCTTTAGGATCGGACTTGTCCGGTTCGCTGCTCCCCGCGGGCAGGTTGCGGAGCCTGCGGCGGCGTCCGGGGGGAAGGAGTAACGTGGGGGGTTCCCAGGAGAGCGGCGGCGAGCTGGTAGAGCAAGTGGGAGGAGGCGTTGAGCGGGATCGAGCCGGAGAGGCGGTGAGAGGAGGCGAGGGCGTCGAAAGAAGAGACGAGATAATGAAGGAGACGAGTGGAAAGGCCGTGAGTTTGCCGGCCGGTTGGAGCAGTAAGGGAACACGAGGCAAGGGGACTCGGAAGCGGGGACGGGAGGAGGCTAGTAACGAGGATGGGAAGGGCGAGGAAAAAGCCGGTGCAGTGGGGAGGAGGGTGGAGGTGTACTGGCCGGACGATGCGGCGTGGTATGCGGGCATGGTTGCGGGATATGAAGAGGAAACGGGCAGGCATGAGGTGTTATATGATGATGGGGAGACAGAGATGGTGGTGCTGGCGAAGGAAAAGGTGAGATGGGTGGGGGGCTCTGGTGGTGGCGTGGCGACGACACTTGGTGCGCGGAAGAAGGGGGTAGGGGCGAGATTGGGGGCGGATGATGCGGAGGCGGAAACGGCGGGTGGAGAAGCCGGAGAGAGAGGGAATGGTGGGGGAGGAGGTCGGGGGATAAGCAAGCGGGAGAAGGGTGGTGGCGAGCGGACGGCTGGAAAGGGGCGTGTTGTGGCAGATGAGGAGGGGGCGAAAGTTGTGGGCAGCGCGGTGGGGAAAAAGGTATCGGCGCAAGGAGCGAAGGAGAAGAAGCAGCAGCAGGAGGAGGCAGCAGTCGAGTCTTCTGATGATGATGATGAGGATGAAGAGGAGGAGGAGGAGGAGGAGGAGGAGGAGGAAGACGATGAGGATGGAGATAGCGAGGAAGAGGACTGGCTGGAAGAAGTCAAGAGGAAGGGCAAGAAGGTGGAGGAAGAGGACGATGATGATGATGACGATGATGATGAGGAGGAGGAGGAGGAGGAGGAGGAGGTGGAGGAGGAGGAAGACGAGGAAGGAGGGTCTGTGGACGGAACTGCGAGTGATGATGGTGAGGAGGAGGAGGAGGAGGAAATGGAGGGTGGGAGGCGGGGCAAGAAGGCAGGTCCGGGAGCAGGAAAGAAAGGCAGCGCGCAGGGTGGCCGTGGGGGGAGTTCTGCAGGCGAGGGCAAGGAGAAAGTGGTGGTGACAGGGAGGAGGAAAGAGGGGAGTCAGGGGGAAGGTGGGTGTGAGGGGCTGGGAGGAGCAGCAGGGGGTGTGACGGATGCAGAACGATCGGCGATTCGCAAGGCTATGCTTGGAGCGGGTGTGACTGCTGGTGCGACTGCTGGTGGCGCTGCAGCTGCTGCCAACACTCCTACTGTAACTGCGCCTGCTGCCAAGGGTGCTGCTGCTGCTGCTGCTACTGCTGGTGGTGTGGGTGGAGGCAGCAGGAGCGCGGGCATGGAAGCTGCTCTGGACAGTGAGTGGAACGGGGCACGATTGTACGAGCAAGCAATGCAGAGGCGAATGAACTCTGGGCAACTGTCGGTTATTTGTAGAGGATCAATTCTTCCTGCCTCTGTCTGCACGCATCAGCTTCCTCTGCTGTAACAGTCTGCCTTCCCCCTGCCGCACCTCGCTGCTCCCTGCTCCCTCCCCTCTGCCCCCGTGCCCCCTGCCCCCGTGCCCCCTGCCCCTGTGCCCCCTGCCCCCGTGCCCCCTGCCCCTGTGCCCCCTGCCCCCGTGCCCCCTGCCCCTGTGCCCCCTGCCCCCGTGCCCCCTGCCCCCTGCTGCCGCCCCCCTGCGCGCAGGTCTGTTCCCCGAGCTAGCAGGAGAGGCGGCGCAGCGGTTCAGTGGGCGCATGGAGGCCAAGTTCGACTTCCTCTTCCGGTGCGTCCCTCCCTGCAGCTGCTCCACCGCACATGCGCTTCATGCATGTGGGGTCATGCATAACGGACTCATGCGCAGGGGCTGACGCACGTGGGGTCATGCACGTGGGGTCATGCACGTGGGGTCATGCACGTGGGGTCATGCACGTGGGGTCATGCACGTGGGGTCATGCACATGTGCGTGGGGGAATATGGAAGGGTTTCTACTTGGGATATGCTCTGCAACAGTGCAAACTGTTTAGGTCAACTTCAATTTGCCATCGTTTCTGCCCTGCATCTTTTACCCCACACCACCTCCCCCCCCCCCCCACTCTCCATCTTCTCAGCGTTCACTCAACCACCCTCCTCTTCCGTCTCCTCTTCCCAACCCGTCTGTCTGTCCGTCCCCCTGTCCGTCCCTCTGTCCGTCTGAACTCACCAGGAACCGCAGGGACGGCAAGCGGCGGCCGCCTCCGGACTATGACCCCACCACTCTCTTCCTGCCAGACGCTTTCTCCTCTCTACGTCCGTTTGTCTGTCTGTCCGTCCCTCTGTCGTCTGGTCTCATTCACCAGGAACCGCAGGGACGGCAAGCGGCGGCCACCATCCCATCCAGACTATGACCCCACCACTCTCTTCCTGCCAGACGCTTTCCTCAAGAACTTATCCGAGGGGCAGGTACCAGCTTATTATCTCCATGCACGTGGCGTGCGTGTGGCATGTGCTATGCCGCTATGCGTGTGGTGTGCGTGTGGTGTGCGTGTGGTGTGCACATGCCATTCACGTATCTGTGCACGTGGCATGAATCCATGGTCCATTGCGCCTCAGCATGCACTGAACCGTTTCATGTCCCTTCCCCTTCCAACTCGTGCCCTGTCAACTTGTGCATACCTGCATCCCCTCTTTCCTCGATCCCTTCCCACTTTACACTTGAAACTGTTGCCTCACTTCCGGAACTGGTTTTCTGTATCTTACACCTCCTTTGCGCGCATTCTGCATTCTCGCCTCCGTTGTTCCCTTGATCCCGTGTGGCACTCCTCTAACAGCGCCAATGGTGGCAGTTCAAGGCGATGCATCTAGACAAAGTGTTGCTATTTAAGGTGCGCCCTTTCCGCCCTCTTCCCCACTTCTGGCGCACACACGCACACACGCATGTGTGCAAGCATCCACGCACCCACGTGGCTGCACGCACACACTCTCATCTGCACCTTACAAGCATGGTGCACCCAACTGGTCCTGCCCTACCTTGCTCATATGCCATACGATTACATGCATATACACGGTGCATGCATAGATGATCTCCCTTGCTCTGCAACATCATCCCTCCTTCTCTCCTGGCTGCTCAAGGTCTCTCCTCCCCTTTCCCCTTGTTAGCAAATCTCATCCTGGAAGTCCTTTTCCTCACTCCTCCTTGACCTTTCTGCCGCTTACCACCCCCTCCTCCCCACTGCTGCCCCTGCTGCTGCCTTACCCCATTGCAGATGGGCAAGTTTTACGAGCTATTTGAGATGGACGCGCATGTGGGCGCCAAGGAGCTCGACCTGCAGTACATGAAGGTGGGCCGCTGTTCCTGCTGTGGTGGGTGGGCGCTGGGCAGGCTGGGCGCTGGGCAGGCTGGGCGCTGGGCAGGCTGGGCGCTGGGCAGGGTGGGCGCTGGGCAGGATGGGCGCTGGGCAGGGTGGGCGCTGGGCAGGATGGGCGCTGGGCAGGGTGGGTGGTAGGGTGGGTGGGTGCTGGGGTGGGTGGGTGCTGGGACGACGTGGAACACTGAACCAGTGTGGCACCATCCTCTCGTACCTTTGCATTTCTGCCCATTTCCTGCCTCTGTCCATTTCCACTTGCTCGTCCTCCTCGTTCATTTTAACTCGCTCCATCAGCCGGCAATACCCCCCCTCTGCCCACTCTTACCCCTCTGCCCACTCTGCCCACTCTGCCCACTCTTGCCCACTCTGACCCCGTTGCCCACTCGACTCCGTCTGCCCTCTCTATATTCCCATCTCTGCAGGGCGATCAGCCGCACTGTGGCTTCCCAGAGAAGAATTATGCAGAGAATGCAGAGAGACTGGCTCTCAAGGTGAGACAGGTTCTTGCTACTCACCCACTCAAGGTCAGTACATTGAGAGAGGCAAACTACTACACTGTTATTAGCAATGGGGTGAACGTTGTAGGTGAGAGGGAGACTGGGAGAGCAGGGATGACACGACACGCCAACAAAGCAGCCCACTGCAGCCTGGTGAGACGCGCTCTGTTAGTGGCAAATGTGTTCGAAATAGGCATACTACATTGTTATAAATGTGATGGGGTGAACGTTGTAAGTGAAGGGAGCGTTGGGAGAGGAGGGATGACACGCCAACAAAGCAGGTCGTAGCAGCCTGGTGTTTCTTCTCATGTTGCAGGCTGGTGTTGCAGCCTGATGACACTCATCTCTCTCATGTTCCCTGGCATGCTCTCCGTCTCCCCTGATGCCGCTCTCATCCTCTCCCTCACTGATTTCCCTGCCCCTGCTGCTGCTCCTGCTCCTGCTCCTGCTGCCCCTGCCCCTGCTCCTGCCCCTGCTCCTGCTCTTGTTCCCGTGCTCCCACATACCCTCCAGGGCTATCGAGTGGTGGTGGTGGAGCAGGTGGAAACTCCCGAGCAGCTGGAGCAGAGGCGGCGGGCGACAGGCAGCAAGGATAAGGTGGTGCGGCGGGCCGTGTGCGCCATGGTGTCATGCTCTCTGCTTCCCCTGACTCCGCCCTCACTGAATTTCCTGCCCCTTGCTTCTGCTCCTGCTCCCACTGCTCCCACCCCCCCACCCCCCCCCCCCCCCCCCCCCCCCCCCCCCAGGGCTATCGAGTGGTGGTGGTGGAGCAAGTAGAGACGCCCGAGCAGCTGGAGCAGCGGCGGCGGGCGACAGGCAGCAAGGACAAGGTGGTGCGGCGGGCCGTGTGCGCCATGGTGTCGCGCGGCACCCTTGTGGACGCTGGCATGCTCTCCGCCTCCCCTGACTCCTCCCTCATCCTCGCCCTCACTGAATGGCCCGCTGCTGCTGCCGCTGCTGCTGCTGCTTCTCCCGTTTCTGCTGCCGCCGCTGCTGTTGCAGCTCCTGCGGGGGAGGAGAGGGAGGAGGAGGGGGGAGCAGCAGCGGTGGTGATAGGAGTGGCGGTGGTGGATGCAGCGACAGGGCAGTTCTCCCTGGGTCAGTTCCCTGACGACGCTGCTCGCACGCGCCTGCGCTCCCTAACAGCCGAGCTCCGTCCTGTGGAGCTCGTGCTGCCCCGGGTCCCTGCCTCCTCTTCCTTGTCGTCTGCTGATAAGCCCGCTGCTGTTGCGCCCTCGCCGTGCCCCTCACCGTGCCCCTCGCCTGCCACGCTGCGGGCGCTCTCGGACGCGTGTCGGCAGCCCCTGTGGAACTGGAGGGAGAGGGTAGACGACTGCTGGGCTCCTGACGCCACAGCGGCATGGTTACAGCGCTTCTATGCCCCGGAAAGAGAGGGTGGTGGCGTTGCTGAGGGCAGAGACTGTGGAGAAGAGCTGGAGGAGGAGGAAGGGGGAAGCAGCGGCGAGAGGAGAAGGGGAGGTATTCCGCGTGCGATCACTCAGTTGATCGCAGCAGGAGAAGCAGCAGGAGAAGCAGCAGGAGAAGCAGCAGGGTCAGCAGGGTCAGCAGGGTCAGCGGCGGTGCTGAGTGCACTGGGGGGCCTTCTGGCATACCTCCGCGCGTGCCTGCTGGAATCCAGACTCCTCGCCCTGCGCCGCTTCTCCTTCCTCCCTGCCGCCCTGCCCCCGGGCTGCAGCAGGAAAACCAACGCTGCCACAGCTGGAAAGGGGCGAGCTCAGGTGGGGGAGCTGGGGGAGCAGAGGAGCGATTCCATGCAGGTGGAGGGGCAAGAAGTGGAGGAGGCAGAAGGGGAGTGCGAGGAAGATGAGCAGCAGGAAGAGGAGGAGCCAGAAGAGGAAGAACCCTTTATGGTCCTGGACAGCTGTGCGCTGGAGAATCTCGAGATTCTCGAGAACAGCCGCGACGGCACGAGCTCAGGCTCTCTCTTTGCGCTCCTGGACCGCACCGTCACGCCGTTTGGGCGGCGCCTGCTGCGGCAGTGGCTCGTGCGGCCGCTGCTGCGAGCAGAGGCGATCAGAGAGAGGCAGAGAGCGGTGGGGGATCTGATGGGCGTGGGGGCGGAGGCTGCGGGGAAGGCTGTGAAGGCGCTGGGGGGAGTGGCGGACTTGGACCGGCTTCTGCCCAGGATCCACTCGCACTGGTGAGATTCATTTTGGAAAGGGGTAGGAAAGGGTGCTGGGGTGGCTAGGGTCTACGGGGGGGTGCTGGTAGCTGCTGCTGAAGGTGGTGAAGGCACTGGGGGGAGTGGCGGATTTGGACCGGCTGCTGCCAAGGATACACTCGCACTGGTGAGGTGTCGGGGGATTGGGGCGTGGGTTGTTAGGCACTCCTGGGGGGTTTAGGGGAGCTGGTGGGGGTGTGGGTGTTGGTGTTTGGGGTTGCGGAGGAGAGGGGGCTGGTGGTTGGTGGTAAGCATGCAGCTCGTTGTTGGCTGCTGCTGGCGCTTGCCACACCATCGTTGTCAACTCTGCTCGTTTCTGCTCCACTCCATGTTGCCACAACTCCCCTTCCCACTCTCTTCCTCATGCTGCGCACTCCTCCCTCACACCCACCCACCCCTCTGCTCTGCAACCCCTGCTACAGGGCAAAGGCCTTCCCAGCAGCAGCAGCAGCAGAGGCAGCAGATGAAAAATCAGGCAAGCAACAACACCAACACCAACACCAACACCAACACCAGCAGCAGCAGCAGATGGGGCGCAACGCGAGTCAGGTGGTGCTATACGAGAACGTGGCTCTGGCGCGCGTGCGGGAGTTCACCTCTGCTCTGCGCGGCTGCCAGGCTATCCTTGCTGCCGCTCACGCCTTGGCCCCGCTGCTGCCCCGCCTCTCCAGCTCCCTGCTGCGCAACCTGCTCTCTCCTGCTGCTCCAGGAGGAGGAGAAGGAGGAGGAAGGGGAGGAGGAGGGGCAGGACGGGGAGGAGGCAAGGGGGGCGCAAGAGGAGTTGGAAAAGGGACGTTTCCGCCGATAGAGTCGCGGCTGCGTGCGTTTGAGCGGGCGTTTGACTGGGCGCAGGCGGATGCGTGTGGGCGCATCTTACCGTCGTCGCCGGGAGTGGACAAGGCGTATGACGCTGCTGCAGCGCGAGTGAGGGCTGTGGAGGCGGAGCTACAGCAGCACCTGGAGGAGCAACGCCACGTGCTGCGCGCCCCGCCCACGGTGCGTGTGCTCCCAGACCAGCCCCGCCCACGGTGCGTTTGTGACAGTGGGCAAGGACCCGTTCCAGCTGGAGGTGGGTTTCAAGGCGCCTAATGTTTCACCATTCTTCTGTTGCCTCACTCCCGTTCCCCACCTCCCACCTCTCTATCCGTAGGTGCCCCTGGCGTTCGTGACAGTGGGCAAGGACCCGCTCCAGCTGCAGGTGGGTTGTGAGGGGCCTCAAACTCAACACACCCTCCTCCCCCCCCACTCCCTTTCATACAGGTGCCCCTGGCGTTCGTGACAGTGGGCAAGGACCCGTTCCAGCTGGAGGTGCCCGATTCGTTGCTCAGCCGCGTGCCACCCTCCTACGAGCTCAAGTCCCAGAAGAAGGTGGGGTGTAAAGGGATGGAGGAGAGAGTGCAGAGCAGAGGGGCAGAGGTCGAAGGGGCAAAGGGGCAGAGGGCGAAGGGCAAGGGGTGAAGGGGAGAGGAGCAGCAAGGGCAGAGCACGGGGAACCTATCACTCACACACGAACTCACTCACTCATTTATTCATTCCTCCTCTTCCCCTCCCACACATCCACCCACCCCAGGGCGTGCGGCGGTTCTGGACGCCCTTCATCCGCTCAGCTCTACAGCGGCTAGCAGAAGCCAAGGAGGAGGAGGAGGCGGCCCTGAAGGGCATCTACCAGCGGCTTCTAGGCCGCTTCTGCGCGTCCCTCCCGCTCTGGCTGCGCGCCGTGCATGCCATCGCCCAGCTAGACGCCCTGCTCTCCCTCGCTGCCTTCTCCCAAGCTGGTGCCCCCCCCATGTGCCGCCCGCACGTGGGGTTTGCTGTGCGCGGGGGCGAGGAAGGGGAGAGGGAAGGGGAGAGGGAGGGAGAGGGGGAGGGAGAGGGGGTGAGGGAGCGGGGGGTGGGGAAAGTGCCGTATTTCAGGGCGAAGGGGTTGCGGCATGCTGTGCTGGCGACCATGGGGTCTGGTGGCAGCTGCTTTGTTCCCAATGACACTGTGCTGGGGGGATGTGGTGGTGGGGGCAGGGGGGCGGGAGGGGGAGGAGGAGGGGGAGAGGCGGAAGGGGGAGGGGGAGGGGGAAGGGGAGGGGAAGGGGCGCGGATGATGCTGCTGACAGGGCCGAACATGGGCGGAAAGTCCACTCTCATTCGGCAGACATGTCTCGCTGTCATCCTGGCGCAGGTAATGAGGGAGGAAGGGTAAGGGGGAAGGGGAAAGGGGGAAGGGGGAAGGGGGGAGGGGGAAGGGGGAAGGGGAGTGGTAAGGAAGAGTGAAGTGGAGGAAGGGTTGGAACAGGGAGGGAAGGGAAGGCAGAAGTGAAGGATTTGAGGGTCCTCGAGGGAAGGCCTCAAAGTGATGTCAAAGTGATGAGCGACTTTCTCATTTCTAGAGCGTCGTTTGTTCTCCTTTGTCCAATGCCAAGCCCCGCCCACCGGTTTTCTAGTTGTGAGACGTCTCAAAACTCGTTCTCCTTTGTCCAATGCCAAGCCCCGCCCACCGGTTTTCTAGTTGTGAGACGTCTCAAAACTCGTTCTCCTTTGTCCATTGCCAAGCCCACCGGTTTTCCTCCTCTCCTGTCTCCTCCTCCCTTCCCTGCCCCTTTGTCCCCACCACACACCAGCTGGGAGCCCACGTGCCGGCAGAGTCCCTCGCCCTCTCCCCAGTGGATCGCGTGTTTGTGCGCATGGAGGCGCGCGCGACCACATCATGGCCTCCAATTCTCCGTTTCTCCCTTTCTCCCTGCTGCTTTGCCCCCCCTGCCCTGATCACCAGCTAGGAGCCCATGTCCCAGCCGAATCCCTCGCCCTCTCCCCAGTGGACCGCGTGTTTGTGCGCATGGGGGCGCGAGATCACATCATGGCGGCGCGCTCCACGTTTCTCGTGGAGCTGCAGGAGACGGCGGGCATGCTGCGCTGCGCCACACGCCACTCCTTCGTGGCTCTCGACGAGCTGGGGAGAGGCACTGCCACTTCTGATGGCCACGCCATCGCGTGAGTCGTGGTGGAGGGGTGTGCAGTGCTGTGGGGTTCGGTGGGGTGGGGTTGGGTGGTGGGGTGGGGGCTCTAGGAGACGGCGGGCATGCTGCGCTGCGCCACACGCCACTCCTTTGTGCCCCTCGTCGAGCTTGGGAGAGGCACTGCCACTTCTGACGGCCACGCCATCGCGTGAGTTGGAGTGGAGAGGAGGGGTGCGTGGGGTGATGGGGGCCGCGGTGCAGTGGGGTGGGATATGGTGGGATGTGATGGGTTGGGCTCGTCTTCTGCTGTGCCCCTCGCTCTCGCTCAGTCTGTCCAGTCACCGCCAAAGTGTCCCCCTCTAACAACCCTGCCACCACCCCTCCCCTTCTCCTCCACGCCCCCTCTCCCCTGCTTCACACCAGCTGCCATGCACTGTTTGTGCATCTTCTGAGAATTTTCAAAAACGCTCCCCTCGCCCCCCCGTTCTCCCCCCACCAGGCATGCGGTGTTTGAGCATCTGCTGAACCGGGTGGGGTGTGTGGGAGTGTTCTCCACGCACTACCATGCCTTAGCACACGACTTTCAACACCATCCTGGGGTGAGTGCGCCCGAGCATGTGAGGGCGTGCGAATGGGCATGGTCGTGGGAATGGGCGTGGGCATGGGCGTGTGATGGGCATGGGCGCATGGGCATGGGCGCATGGGCATGGTTATGGGCATGGCTATGGCCACAAACCGCATCAGACCTGCACATGCCTGTGTGTGCGCAGGCACACCAAAGCATCCAGTCATGTATGTGCACAGGGCCACTGCAAGGCACATGTCGCTCTGATCAGCAGGTCGCCTCATGTTCCCATCCTCCCATCTTCCTGTCATCCCGTCCTCCTGTCCTCTCTCCACTCACTCTCTCCCTTTCCCTTCCATCCTCCACACCTCTTCCCCTCACTCTCTCTGCTCTACCCTCTCCCCTCTCCCATACCTCCCCTCCCTCCTCTCCCATCTCTCCCCTCTGCCCTCTCACCTCCCCTGTGAGCCTTCAGGTATCCCTACAGCACATGGCATGCCAGGTGCGCTCCTCGCCTTCCCACGAGGCCGCTCCCGCCGCTGCTGCAAGCAGCAGCAGGGCGGGCGGGAGCAACAACACCAGCAGCGTCAGCGGCGGCGAGAGAGGGGAGGAGGTGGAGGAGGTGGTGTTTCTGTACAAGCTCGCACAGGGCTCCTGCCCCAAGAGCTATGGCATCAACGTCGCACGCCTCGCAGGTCCGCTGCTTTGCTCCCTGCATCTGCCTGCACCTCCATGCACCTCCCTGCACCTCCCTGCATCTCTCTGCATAGCTCTTAAAGACAGGCTGCTGGCTGCTTCCTGCTCCTTCCTTGTGGCTCTCACTTCCCTTCACTACCATTCCCATGCCCACCTCCTCCCCCCATCCAACTTCCATTCTTGTCTCTGCCAATTTACCTGCCACTACCATGCCTCATGCTCCCCGCCCTCCTCTCCCCTTCTCTTCTCCCTCGCTGGTGCCGTGATGGCTCCCCTCCCCTCCCCTTGCGGTGCAGGCATGCCGGAGTCGGTGCTGTGCTGTGCGGGCAGGAGAGCACAACAGTTAGAGCAGGAGAGGGAAGCACACCGCAGAGAGAGACTCGCAGCAGGAGCAGGGCCAGCAGCAGAAACTGCTGCAGCAGCATCATCGTCGGCAGCACCATCAGCAACAGCCGCAGCAGCAGAAGCAGCAGCGGAAGCAGCAGAAGGAAAAGAAGCAGCGAGGGGTTCAGAGGAGAGTGAGCGGGTGGATGAGGAGGGAGTGGCAGTGCATGCGGTGCTCTCCCAGTTGCACCGACTTTTGCAGGAGGGGGCGAGGGGCAAGCAGCAAGGCCTGGATGACAGTGCTTCAGCGCCAGCAGGGATGGCCGTGGATGGTGAGACAGGAAGTGATGTGCTGGCCAAGTTGAGGCTGCTGCAAGCACAGGCAGCTGAGGGGGACTGATGAAAGATAAGATCAGGGTATGTATACCAGTGAAGGTTATTGAGTACCACTGTTTTAGTGGAAACAATTATGGATGTGGAAATGTGAGGGAAAGTGGTTGGGGGGGAAACATTAAATCCGAAGATTTATTCTCCTGTGTAATTCTGTCCTTTCTAGTAAATATGCTGCATGTGTGCACCAGCTTCAATACCTCAATTGATAGTATACTGGCACGACACAAAGCTTTTCACGTTTACAACACCTAGGGAGGGTCAAATTATCTACAGATTCAGCAGCAATTACCGTAAAAATAATAATGGCATACCCATGCCGTTCTTCACCTTCCAGCAGCACTTGCACCAGCAGAACAGGCTCAACCAGCAGCAGCGAGCACACCGCACACCCCACCCTACACAGGCGTCTTGAGCGCCTCCCCTGCAAGATGCGCCTTGAGATTCTCCAACACCACATCAGCCATCACGCCACGCGTCTCAAACGTGCCACTGCCCACGTGCGGCTGCACCACCACATTATCCATTTCCAGCAGCTCCGCAGGCACATTCGGCTCATCTTCAAAAACATCCAGCCCCGCTCCCCCCACCCTCCCTTCCTTTAACGCCGCCACAAGCGCCGGCTCATCCACATTCTTCCCCCGGGCGATGTTAATCAGCACCCCTGAAGGGCCGAGAGCCTCCAGCACGGATGCGTCTACAATGTGCGTGGTTTCCGGGGTGAGAGGGCAGGCCACAACAAGGAAATCCGAGGAGGCGGCGAGGGCGGTGGGGGAGGAGTGGTAGGAGTAGGAGGAGGGGATATCGGAGCGCTGGCGGCGGCTGTAGTAGGCAATGGGGCAGTTGAAGGCGGCTGCGCGCTGGGCTATGGCCAGGCCGATGCGACCCAGACCTATGATGCCCACTCGCTTGCCTGACACCTGTGGCTCAGCCAGGGAGGACGGGGGGAAGGGGAGAGACTTTAGAGGCGCCTCAAGCGTCGGCGTCTGCGCGCTGGGCTATGGCCAGGCCGATGCGGCCCAGACCTATGATGCCCACTCGCTTGCCTAACACCTGTGGCTCAGCCAGGGGAGGACAGGGGAGGTGGAGAGAGAGTGAGATGGAGGGCAGTTGGAGAGTGCTGCTAGCTAGGCTATGGGCCTATAGCTATGGTTACGCCTACGCGTCGCAGACATTTGAGTCAATTGGCCGTAAGGCACAAGGGGCACAGGGCGTTGGGGAGAACAGGGAAAGGGGACAGTAGGGTGGGGAGGGGGAACGGGAGGTGTTGGAGTGAATTGTGAAGCTGGAAAAGCGTGCAGCCAAGCAGGACAGGAGCGGGGGAAGGGGGAAGCGGGAAAGGGGGAAAGGTTGGGAGGAGAGGGGGACAGCGAGCGAATTGACAGTAGCAAACGAATCAATCCATTCATTGTACGCCTTCCTCCCACGCTCTGTCAAGCAGGAGCAGGTTTGGATGACTGACCAGCTATGCTATGCTGTGCCCATCAGTTCAAATATGCCCATCAGTTATAAACGGTGCCCTGCCCATTAAGGTTGCTTTCGTCATACGCATCACAGTTTCTTTGAACGCCCTTACTCCACATCCACCGCCACCCCCCACCTATCCTACACACCCCCTTCCATTTCCACCACTTACCACCCCTCTCCACCCCTCACCAACACCGCAGCTCACCTTGTGCGTCAGGTGCATCATGCCCTTCTTGACCCACTCCCCCTCGCGCACGTATCGATCTCCCTCCACCAGCCGCCGCGATACAGTCAGCATCAGCCCGAGGGCCAGGTCTGCCACGTCATCCGTGAGCACGTCTGGCGTGTTGGTGACGTGGATGCCCTTCTCCTTGGCCTTCGCCACGTCTAATCCAATGGGAGACGTACGTGGGGAAATGCAGGCACACCGGGAGGGATAAACGGGAATTGTCGAGTGACCACTGTTCGCGGGAAAGGAAACACAAGATGGAGCGGGAAGCGTGAAAGGTGAAGTGCGGCAAATGTCCCACCTGCTGAATCCCCTTCCCCTCCTCACTCTTCTCAACCCCGTTTCACCTAGCAGCACTCCGGCATACCTATGGAATCCACGCCCACGCCGAAGTTGGTGATAACCTCCAGCCGCGGAAGCCGCTCGAAGAGCTCCGCGGGGAAGCCCCAGAAGCTGTTGGTCACAGCCGCGCGGATCTCCCCCGCGTGCGCGTCCAGCAGCGGGCCCCACGCTGCCTTGTCGCCCGTCGGGAGGTGCACGAGCGTCGCGAATTGCTCAAGATCGGATACCAGGCGCGGCAGCTGCGGCCCCACCACCAGCACGCGCGGCCTTGCGGACTCCCCCGTTTCCCCCATTGCGGAACTTGCCGAAGGGGAGGCGGAGGCGGAGGCGGAGACGATCGGGAAAGAGCGGGAGTGGACGGCTGCAGAGGGGGAGACCGATCACGTGGGATGGGGGGTATGAAAATCGCAGTGAGCGTGAGAGATGGATTGAGAATTCAGGCATGGAAGGTGGAAGCTCGGTATCAGAAGAAGCCAGGAGTGTTTACTTATAAAAGCGGCTTGCCCGGAATGCAAAGAGAAATGTGACTGTTACAAGCACTCACCGCTTGGATGGCGAATCGTAAGAGATGGTGCCGCGACGGGATAGGCGTTGAAGTGGGATGAAAGGGACGTCGAGGTTGTGACGGAACGTAACGAGCCGCAGGATAGAAGAGGCCGTGAAATGCGGTCGGCGTTTTTGGTGCAGAATAAGTTGAGACGGGAGAAGCGAATGGCAAGCTGAGCTGATGGGCAGCTGGTGATTCTTCGACCAACGAATACTGAAGCTTGGCGCAACATTGCAAATATGTACGAAACCAGGCTGGAGAAACTGGGAAATGCGTGAAATGTGCGAACGGGTGCGTGTCAGTGCATGAAAAGTGAAGCAGGAAATTTGGCGAGGAGGTGGGTAAATGTAATGGGTCGGGAGGATTCGAATCTGATAAAGTTCGGTGAAATGAGAGGAGGAATCCAGACGACTCAGTGGTGGATGTGCGAGGTGCATGCATGTGACTGATAGGACTATTGATGACGTTGTACGCGCAATCTGGGGTCCAGAAGGCTGTTTCAATGGAAACCATGAATGCATCTGGTTAACTCTGACGCTCAACAATGCGTAAATGCGTGAATGCCACGTCAATTACTCCTGTAAGCGTTATTTGGGACTCCAACGCTTAGACCGTTCACATATTTCAAAAATTAGCATGAACCATCTGCCTAAAGCTAAGGCAAGGACAGTTATGGAAGAAGCATCTGAAAGAAATATTAGAATCCACATACCGATAGCAGCCTAAAAGCATTTAGTCACGAAGAAATAACACCAGAAGTACGAACCAGCTTGCAAACAAGTCCTAAAGGGCAGCTAGCCTATGAGGGGATAACTAACATAGCTCAAACAAGCGTGAACCACCCTGATATCCGGTAGGACAATGGTTCTCATTCGTCAGCCTTCTCCTCTGCTGCCTCATCCTGCAACAGGGAAAGACATGAGTGCAGGTAAAACCAGTTGTCATTTAATGTCAACCATCACCAACATACAAAACGATAGCATCCAAGGGTAACAACGGTGCACAAAAACGAATATTAGCCAGAACATACCTGCATGTCCGAGGTCCAAAGAGTCAGGTTATCCCGCAGCAATTGCATGATAAGCGTGCTATCCTTGTACGAGTCCTCCCCGAGCGTGTCGAGCTCCGCAATTGCTTCATCGAAAGCCTGCAGCGTGGACCAAATAGTAAGAACTAGATAGAGAGCAACATGGAACAAGAGCGTTGGAACTGAACTGGATTACCTGCTTCGCGAGCGTGCAAGCGCGCTCAGGAGAGTTAAGAATCTCGTAGTAGAAGACGGAGAAGTTAAGGGCCAAACCCAGACGAATCGGGTGAGTAGTAGCAAGATCAGCATTAGCAGTATCCTGAGCAATGGAAACACGGCAGCGAAGGGCAAGTCATTAAACACAGAAATATAAAAATAGAAATCATGTCGGAGGTAAAGAGAGGGCATTCGATCGTATGGCGAATATACAAATCGTAGTAGCACATAAGAGAAATAAATTAATGTCGTTTGACAAAAACGTTATGAACTGAAATACATTGAACACATACATTACTCGTACGCGTGGAAAATAAAGTTCGAGATACCAAAGCCCAGTTATTTGGGGAGATATGACAGAACGTACCTGAGCTGCAGTGTAAGCCTCCAGCGTGCTTTCAGCGGCAGCTTTGCGATCTGCGCCTGACTTGAACTCCGCGAGATAACGATGATAATCACCCTTCATTTTCAGGTAAAACACCTTCGCCTCAGCGGATTTAGATGCAGGAATAAGGTGTGCATCCAACAAGGTGAGGATGCGTCCACAGATCTCGTCTAGTTCCTTCTCAATCTTCGCGCGGTACTCCTTGATAATAGTGACACGATCCTCGTGGCCTCTGCTTTCCTCTTTTTGCTCAATAGAGGAGACGATACGCCACGAAGCGCGGCGAGCTCCAACAACATTCTTAAATGCTACCGAGAGAAGGTTGCGCTCCTCCACCGAGAGCTCCACATCGTCAGCGAGCTTCGCAACTTTCTCAATGGCCTCCACCATCTCGTCATAGCGTTCGGCCTGCTCAGCAAGCTTGGCAAGGTAAACCTGATCTTCGCGCTCAGACCCCATGGTTACTACAGAAGCAGGTAAGGACAAACAATGTTAAAAGGTGGAAGCTGTGGGAAGAAAACAGCGAAATTTGGTTGCAGTGCTGATATGACATGGGAATGAAGCTGGTGGAAATATCAAGCCCAGCCACAACAACCAAACCAAGCCAAAAAAGGAGGTCGGGCCAAGGGAGATGGTAAGTTCCCGGGCTCGTGCCGAACCAAGTCTGCGCGGGGAACAAACAGGCATGTAAACCACCTCTGGACAACAGCCCTGTCAGGAGTAGCTGTCACGCTCGACAGAAGAACACGAAGCTTGAGAAAACTGAAATAGCTACACTTGTTGACTTCACATAAGCTAAGAAGCTACAGCTGACCCTTCTAGTCATTAAGAAAGTCATTTGTTTCAGAAATGCCATGCAAACTCCTTACCTGTTGACCCTGTAAACCACACATGCATAATATATTTTCCCATATTATTACAAAATGTGTCATCCTTTTTAAGTTTATCTGCTGTTTTTTCCCCATAGGACCAATGTTTGTGGATTTCCCTTCACCAACTATTATTTCAAGTTATCAGCATGAGGGATAGGCTAAGCGTGAATAGATACACTGTTTGAGTGTACTAGACAGTTGGAAGGTGGTTGGCGCTGGTCGCAAGGTCCTGCCAATTTGCAGTCGTGTCATGCTCAATGCCAGGGGGCGATAATTGGTTAACCTCGGACGACGATGGTGGTTGGCCGACGACAGCAGCTGTCGAATTACAGTTTCCTCCGCGAATTGCATTCCCCAGGTGCATGCTTGCTGACGTGGAATCTTTCCAGGTGCTGGGCCCTCGCGAATCGCAGGGCTTGCGATTTTCTCCGTCATCACCTCATTGCCCAGCCAAACATTCATGGGGTCACCTCAAAACTTCCATGTTCCATCTAAACCGTCGATAATGCGCCATGAGCAGATCGCAACCGCTGACAAGATTTCAGCCCTTGGAATCGCCGCACAACTCGGGTTTTCCGCCGTCGCAGTCACAATGGGTGGATTGATACAGTCGCCCCTCACCCCTCAATCCTGAACCACTTCCCCTTGGAGCCATCGCTTGCTACACCTTGGTTCATCGCACCCATTTCCCTCAACAATCGCCCATCTGCTTCCAGGGTTTCGTTTTATCGCCCAACCTGATGCTTCAGCTTCCAGTCTATCGCAACCCTCGTCTTGTCTATCTGCGAGCTCCCAGTTTATCGTTCATCCGAGCCCTTCGTCGCTCCTTGTCCTTCAGGGCAGCGACGGCAACATGGCTTCTTACCGCCCCGACGATGCTAGGGGCGAATTGATGCGCGTTCGGCGTGACATCGCCAATGTTGAAAACCAACTTACTGTAGTATGTAGAGAAGTAGAGTCTGCAGCTGAACTAGGTGACAAGGAGCGAGTTAGCGATTGTCGTCACATCCGGAACTGCTTGTGGAAGGAGAAAGAGCAACTGCGGATTCAAGAAACTATCTTTCTCAGGATCTTGTTTTCGGATTCTCCTCTCACTGGTGGCTCTACACTCACGATTACGTCAGGTGGAATTTCCCGACTACCGGAAACGTTTCTTTGATGTTCTAGGCATTCCATAAGTATCGTTCTGTCAAGGCGCTTCCATGTGCATTCGCGTCTGCTCTTTCGTTTCAATGTCACTTACCTCTATGATGTGTGCTACCACCCTTGCGGTTTTGTTCAGGAATTCCTACTGTTGGAGCGCACCAGCAGCAGCTGCAGACCGACTCACGAAACCAGCAGCCGTATCAGCAGCAACAACCCCCTCAGCAGCAACACCTTCAGCAACAGCAACATCACTTGTCACAGCTGGGATGTCAACCTCTCACAGCATGCGGAGCTCCTGCCGACTATTTGCAACCTCAGCAAATGACTTCGGCTGCTTCGTTGATGCCGCCTTCGCTGGTGCCTGCATCTCCAGCGCTGAAGCCATCTCAACCTCCAGGACAAGGAAAACGGAGTCGCAGAATGCTTTCCCCCCCTCCAGGTGCACCAGGAGGTCCCGGAGGTCAGCTTTTGCTCGGTCCCGGGAGCTCAGCGGCTGGATTTGAAGCGGACCTCGTTAATCCTGAAGGCTACGAAGTGAATCGCAGCTCCGAGAGCAAGGTCATCGACGTTTGGACGGAATGGAAGGAGGGTATAAACGGTGGGCCGTCCATTGAGAAGCTTGAAGAAGCACGCAAGCGCGACCGCAAATGCGTTTGGTGGAGACATAAGAACGATTACAAATACTGGAGCAAGCAGGTAACGTTGAAACTCATCTCGTAGTGTCTGTTGTTTCTTTTCTTTGTCTTATCTAAGTTAACAATGGCTCGTCTTCATCCCTTCTCATTGCAGATGCGCATTATTCACGCTATTGAGAAGAAGGCCGCCGAGCTGGGTGGAAGCCTGGATGCTGCGATTCGTTACTGGGAAGAGATTTTGCGTGTGGAATTTGAAGGCAGCATTTCCAAGCTGCGAGAGGCCCTTGGTGGTGAAAAGGCTGTTCCTGGCGGTGCCGATGGCCGTGAGCCTGGCTCTGGTGTTTCTGAAATGAGCAGTTTCAAACGGCATCGAAAGGAGCTACTCCAGAAAGCTGTTGAGAGAATGAAGCACTGGCCCGAGCAGCAGCAGCTTCTTATGAATCAGCAGCAGCAGCAGCAGCAGCAGCAGCAGCAGCAGCAGCAGCAGCAAGAGCAGCAAGAGCAGCAGCAACAGCAGCAGCAGCAACAGCAACAACAGCAGCAGCAGCAGCAGCAGCAGCAGCAGCAGCAGCAGCAGCAGCAGCAGCAGCAGCAGCAGCAGCAGCAGCAGCAGCAACAACAGCAGCAGCAGCAGCAGCAGTTGATGGAGCAGCAACAGCAACAGCAGCATCAAATGATGGCAGAGGATGCAGTTCAAGATGGAGTGCAGGAGCAGCCCTTGGCAATGCAGCAGTCGCATCCACAGGCCATCACTCAGATGTCTTGATTATGCTTTTGCTTATGTTTCCTTGTTTGCTTTTGGCTAGCATCTTGCTGGTCACCAGCTATTTCTAAGCTGTATTTTACTTGTGGTTTCCATAGGTTCTGTGGACCCCTTGCCTTGCACCATACTTAGTGATTTGTGTTTGCAATAAATATGTTAATTTTCTGTGCCATAGCTTTCCGATGTGAGACCTCACACATTCCATGTTAGATATTCTGGAAGTTATAAGAGTGGTGTGATGTCTCACACTCCACTCTCACTTCAGGACGCGGTTAAAGTGGAGAATCGATCGCCTCAGGTTCGTTTTTTAGCACGGTTATAAACGGTTGTGTATCTTTTCTATACAAAACGCAGGGTTTCAGTATGGTGACCGGATCGATTTCCCCCCGATCGAGCACTTCTACCGCGTCCTCAGTTGCGGTGTTGGTTGTAACAGCGGGTCTGGGCTTTCTGTCAGGATGGGATAAGCGGCAGCCAAAAGTCAAAATTCTCTCATCAACCAACAGGGGAAGCGCGAACCAGTTCGAGGGAATTCAAAATTATGCTAGAGCTTGGACAAGCATGAATCTCTGCACCAGTGTCGCCGACCGAGCCTGCATTCCTGCGACTTTTCATTCGGCTTGTTCGTCCACCGAGTTCCGCCTGGCACGATGATGACTTTCGAGTTGGTGCCGTCGTTTGAGTGCCCCTGGGATGATCTAAGTTAGGCTGTAGCTACTTAGTTAAGTACAGGGTTCACCACAGCCCGTCAGAATCATCGAGCTCGTCGCGGCCCCGTGCGGTATTCCATCATCCTCCATCCACTCGACCGTTCCGCTTTTATAAAAGCAGCTCTTCAGCTCTTCCGTGCATTCAGCTTTGCATCCTCTCCTCCATTTTGCCGGGCCAGTTGGCCTCACGCGCCATGTGCGGGCCTGGTGCGAGACGACTCGCGTCCATTCTCCCCCGCGTTTGGGTTCGGCGCCTCGATATGGGGTAGGCGACAAAACGACGACGATGTTGATGTTGATGCTGCCATTGCCGCTCCCCGCTCCTCCTGCGTCTTCTGCTCCTTCCACGTGCCTCCCTTCTCGCCTCGTCCATTTAATTCTCTTCAAAATTTTCCCTCTCTTCCTCCTCTCCGCCTCTCCTCGCCTCTGCTTCTGCTCCTACTGATGCATTCCGTTCCACCTCTTGTGGCTCTTCCCGAATATCCCGTCCTCCCACTCCCCCTCTCGCCCTCCGTCCGCATCTGTACCCTGGGATCCTCGTTGCTGGCTTGCTTGTGTGTTTGCTTTCTCGCGCTGCTCGCGTGCTCACATGCGTGCCTGAGCTCTGCACGCCATCCTTCCATCCAACCTTCCATCCATCCATCCACCCATCCATCCATCCACCCATCCTTCCATCCATCCATCCATCCATCCATCCATCCATCCATCCATCCATCCATCCATCCATCCATCCATCCATCCATCCATCCATCCATCCATCCATCCATCCATCCATCCATCCATCCATCCATCCATCCATCCATCCATCCATCCATCCATCCATCCATCCATCCATCCATCCATCCATCCATCCATCCATCCATCCATCCATCCATCCATCCATCCATCCATCCATCCATGCACCCCTGTCCCAGGTGGGAGTGGGCAATGCTGCGCCTGGAGCTCTTTCTCGACTCCACCGTCAAGGTCTTGGGTCCACTCTACGTCCTCATCGCCCTCGTCCTCATCCTGTCAGTCAGTCTTCTTCTGCCTTCCTGCCCATGCCTCCTGGTTTTGAGTCCCCCCCTTCTCCCATCTACGCCCTGCCACCTCCAACGCTGTTTTCCAAGCCTGTGTAAACCTCCTGGCGTTTCTCACTCCTTCTCAGCACCAAACTGAGCATAACGAATGAATTTTCTGAAAGTCCCTCCCCTTCGACTTCCTCTCACCCTGTTCCCCCTTCCCCCTCCCTTCACCACCATTCCCCCTCCCCTCTTCTTCCTCCTCTTCTTACTTCCTCCTCTCTCCCCCCTCTCCTCCCCTTGCCAGCGCCATCATGGTACCTCACATTCTCACTGCTGCACCCCATGGCATGACCCTTTTTCTTTCTAGTACACTCAACCCGAAACTCCTCCCCACTTTCCTCCCTCCCCCTGCCAGCGCCATCGTATACCTGGCCTTCTCGCTGCTGCTGCCCATGGCATATCCCCTGCACACCCCAGCGGGCATGCTGCATTCCCTGGCAGCAGCATGGGTGTCGTTCAACATTCTCTTCAACTTCTATTGCGCCGCCACCAGAAACCCGGGCTCGCCTCCTCCCCTTGCGGTGAGACATGCTGCTCTGATCTGAGTGGGTGGGTGAGAGCAGTGTGGGTAGGAGAGAGAGAGAGAGAGAGAGAGAGAGAGAGAGAGAGAGAGAGAGAGAGAGAGAGAGAGAGAGAGAGAGAGAGAGAGAGAGCAAAGGAGGGACCCCAAGGAGGGACGCGGCCAATAGCGGTGGGGGAGTGTCTCCTCCGGATTATAGCAAAGGCCGCCCTCTTCCTGACCGCGCCAGCCGCCCGTACTCACTTTGCCCCCCTTCAATTCGGCGTGGCAGTAGCAGGGGGGATCGAAGCGGCTATCCACACCGCTCGCACGTACCTGGAAGTGCACCCTGCTGCAGTGGCCTTGCAGATCGACCTCGCGAACGCTTTTAACGCGGTAGAAAGGAGAGCGGTGTTCGAAGGACTGAGAAACGAGGCGCTGAAGAAGCTGATCCCCCTCGTCCGCCTATCCTACGGGGCTCCCTCCTCGCTCTACCTCGACCACGACTTCGGCGCAGCCCCGCTGCAGAGCGCCAGAGGAGTTCGCCAAGGGGACCCGCTCGGCCCCCTCCTGTTCGCGGCAAGCATCCACCCGTGCCTCATTGCCACGGCGGCGGCACACCCTCAGGTGGTCCTGCTGGCGTACGCCGATGACATCACGCTGCTCGGCGACGCCTCGGCCTGCACAGCAGCTTTCGACCACCTCACATCCGCACTTGCCGCCCTCGGCCTGGTACACAACCCGGCCAAATGCGCGGCGTGGTCCGCCGCTCCAATCGACCCCTCTGCAGTGCCCCCGGGAATTACTATCTCTGATGAGGGACTGCAGATTCTCGGCAGCCCGGTTGGCACACCCCGGGGGTGCGCGGGCGCCGTGAGAGAGAGACTGGCAGTAGCAGCATCCCCACTCCCCCTGCTGGCCCAGATGGACCCCCAGCTTAGCCTCCTCCTCCTCACCCGCTGTGTCAGCCGCCGAGCCTCTTTTCTGGCCAGAACCACCCCCCTGGAAGCTCTCCCTGAAGCGGAATGGTCAGCTTGGGGGGAGCAGCTCCTACACACCTTCCTGGACTCGGCCCACATCATGAGACCGAGGAGTGCCCGGGAGAGGCGGAGGATTTGGCGGCAGGCGGCCCTGCCCGTGACTCTGGGAGGCCTGGGCATCACTGACCCCGCCGTTGAAGGCAGCTACGCTTACCTCGCTTCAGTGATCAGCGCCGCCCACCTTCTGTACTCCCTGGAGGAGTCGTTACACCCTGCTGTCGCCGCGCTCCTCCCCCTACTGGACCCTACCCACGGCTCCCCGCACGCGCTGCCTGCACGCCTCGCCGCGGCTGAGGCAGCTCTCCCACCTGAGGCTCTCGAGGTGCTCCAGGCCGGGAAGACAGACCCCAAGGGACTGAAGCTGCAGCAGAGCCTAGCGCTGGCGGTTCACTCCCGCCGCTTCTTGAGGGCCATGCGCGAGGCAAGGCGGATGCGCCCCAACCCCCTTTCAGGCCATGCGCAACGGATGCAGTCGGTGCTAGGCCCAGGAGCAGGGGATTGGCTGCTAGCGATCCCGCTCATCCCCTCGCTCCGAATGGGCCCCTCCCAGCTCTCAACTGCAGCTGCCTTCCGCCTAGGCCTCCCCCTCCCAGTGCCTAGACGCTGTGACTGCCGCTACCGCACCACCTTCCCCGACGACCGCCTCCCCAACCACCTCATGCGCTGCGAGAAGGGGAAAGGGAGGACCGCTACCCATCACGCTCTGCGGGATGAGATAGCAAATATCGGGGCTGAGGCGGGTTTTACGGTTCATAAGGAGACGTATGTCTACTCACTGGTTGAAAACCTAAAGGCGGATGTCACCATCCGTCATCCACTGACCGGGGAGGTTTGGATGTGCGACGTGACCGTGACGGACCCGATGTCAAACCAGGACGAGAACTGCAACCGAGCTCCTGGTTGGGCAGCTAGGGCGGCAGCGGCAAAAAAGGAGGAGAAGTACGCACGGCGGAACACGTGGGTGGGGTTCCACGCGCTCGCAGTGGAAACATACGGCTACCCCTCGCCGGGGGTGCTGGCTTACCTGCGGCAATGCGCGGAGCTGGCGGCAAAGCTGCGGTTTAACGCAGCCCCTACCTCCTACGAAGCAGCGAAGCTTCTGACGGAGTACCGCCAGCGTTGGAGCGTGTGCCTCTAGCGGGCACAGGCCAACGCCCTCCGCACCAAGACCAATGAGGCCTTGGCGGCGGACGAGCTCGGTTTTAGAGGACCCATCATCCCTCTCAGTGAGGGACAGCTGCACCAGTTGATTGAGGCCCCGTTCGACCAGTAGGGTCGGACAGGGGAGGGGGCAGAGTAGGTAGGGGACTTGGAATAGTTAGGATGCCGGTTTTCTGTTGAGCTTGTGCTTGTGTGTTTTGCACCTTCCGTTGTACCACCCCCCAAAGAAATGCAAGGACCATTCGAGAGAGAGAGGATTAGCCTCTCCCCTTCTACCCTCTGCCCTCTGCTTTCTACCCTCTGCCATGACTGCTTAAGGCCACGGCGGCCTCTCCATCTCTCATTCTTTCAGTTAGTGCTGAAAATTCTGGTGTTGTTCGAGAGAGCGAGAGAGAGAGAGGATTAGCCTCTCCCCTTCTACCCTCTGCCCTCTGCTTTCTGCCCTCTGCCATGACTACTTAAGGCCACGGCGGCCTCTCCATCTCTCATTCTTTCAGTTAGTGCTGAAAAATTTGGCGCGGCCGCCAGCGCTCGCGTGCGCGGCCTTCGGCCGCACGTTAGGGATGGCAAGGGGAAACAAATAGCAGTAGTAGCTTAGGCAACCGATACAAACAAAGCAAGCATAGACACTTAGCAAGTAGAGGATGGAACGGGTCTATACGCGCAAGGGGGGAGCGCCTACATGCGGTCTGCCTCTACCGCAGCGAGCATTCCGCTCGTGTTCAACCACAACTGGCGGACCGCAGACACGGTGGCGCCTACAACGTCAACAGGAGTACCAGGGCCTGCTACAAGCGTCCTCAGAGCCAGGGCCGAGTCAGCCAGCTGGCTGGCCGAGGTTGCTCCCAGCGAGGGCGCTACCTCCAGTGGCGTTACGAGCGCGAATAGCGCTGACGCTGCCGCATGACAATCTGCTCGCGGCTTCTGAGAGAACCTGCTCGGAGGGCTCACCGGCATGGAGTCAAATGACTCCTGGATAATCCGCTCAAGGCTCTACAGGGACGCCGCCAGCGACCATAGGCGGGCCAGGGTCGCCGTGGGAACTTCCTTCATCGGCGGAAGTAACGCAGACGCGCGGGCACGGTGAGACGACACAGCGAGATCACGCGGAGCAGGAAGAGGACGCGGCGGAGCAAATTGAGCCCACGGCGGCCCGCCACCAGCACCTACGAAGCCCATCCCCGCAGGCAGCGGCCGCTCTGAACGCGCCGGGGATCCAAAGGGATTGTGGGGCAGGAGCGCGGAGAGAGGGACGACGGGAGCAGCGCGAGGAGCTGATGGTGACGCCGACCCCGCACGCGAGCGACGAAGCTCCTTCTCCACGTCATCAAGCCTATCCAGAAGACGGCGCTCCATTGCGGACGGCGCTGGACGCGCTTTTCCGCCGCGACTGTCACCCCCCCGTCGCCCACGACGCGCACGCCCACTTGCGCTCGAGCGCACAGGCGACTGCGGGCGAGATGGGCCCTGCTGACGCTGGCGGCCAGGAAAACGGTCCCCGCGACGAGGGGAGTAGAGCCGTTGGCGCTTTGCAGGAGGGGGCGAACGCAGAGCTGGGGGCCGACGCCCAGACGTCTGGCGGGCAGGCGACCGCTGGCGAGATGAACGGTGAGGGGGCGAACGATGACGATGCGAACGGCGGTCACGGGATCGGCTTCGCGACGCCACGCGACGAGGCGAACGAGGCGACAGCGGCGAACGGGCCGCACCGTGACGATCATCGCGGCGGCTCTCCCGCTTATCGTCGCGAGCTGCCGATGAGCGACGGCGAGGCGAACGCTCCTGGTGCGCTAGCAACAGCCTCTGAGCCGGAGCGCAAGACAAACCCCGCGCGCGGGGGCTCTCGCGGTGACAAGGACCTACCCGCGCGCGGAGCCAACTCCCGCCGCTGGTCCTCGAAGCGGCGGCGGATCTGATCAGCGGACGCCGGCGGAGCAACAGGCACGCTCGCGGTAGGGCGTGCAGGAGGAAGCGGACGGGGAGCAGGATCGCTCTCCGCGGTGCAGTCGCGGCCAAGAGCGCCAAGGAAATCCATTGGCCAACGCTCAAGACGCTCCACTGGCACACGAGGAGCCGACAACGCCGATCTCCCAAGCGCAACAGGCGGAACCTGTGGCAGCTACCCCGCGGAGCGGACGAGGAAGCATGTGGGGGAGAGGCGGGCGACGAGGAGCGCGCGGAGGGCAGAGGAGCGCAGGCCAAGCGGGAAGGGGACCGCCCTGCCAGTTGCCGAGCCCAATCTGGTTGGGGGAGCCGGCGGAACGAGTCACGCGCCAGTCATTCGCCAGGCGGGGGGCGAGGGGAGGAACACCAGCGCAAGCTGGGAGAAACAGGGATATCAACACAGAGGGGAGTGGAGACGATTATATACTGTCAGATTTGAGGCAACCAGACGATCCCGCCTCACCTCACGTGGAACAAGGAGAGGGGCAAGCGCAGCATCAGGAGAGAGAAACCGGCCGCAGACAGCATCGCAGGGCTCAGCTTCCCCCGGACCAGGCACTATCGGCGTCCCAGCTGGCCTAGCGGGAGGATCTTTTCCGGATCGCGATGACTTGGGACCTTACACTCCTAACCTCCACCACCCACCTACCAATCGTCCGCCGACTGCCGCCGCAGATCCTCAGCGACTACTCCACCTGTGTGCTGGCTGCCCTACTGCGCGGGAGCATGGCGGGTCCTCATGTTCCTGCCACGTCTCACGCTAAGACTTAGCCGGAGATCCAGCTCTATATGGAAACTGCTGCGGGAACAGATGCATCTATTTCGATGTGGCCACTGGACCCAGCTGTACACTGACTACTTGGGGTCAATGCACCTGGCCGAACCACCTCAGCACCAACGT